CAGGAACACTGGAGAGGATGACAAGGGGGAAAAAGCAACAAGCAGCAAAACACAAAAAAGGAACAAACGACAAGCGGGAAAAGCACCGCCAAGGCTCCCACATTGGCCGGCGGCTCCACACCAGCCCTCCACACAACAAACGCACACGACGCCAGCAATCACCCACCAATGGACGAAGAAGAGACACACCGCCGCCGCCACAGTCCAATCCCACGGCTAACGGGATACGGCCACGGCCCCGCGGAAAACACGCAACGCACACTGAGCGAGCACCCACACCAGCCACGCGCGGAAGCGGGCCCTCATCCATCCATGACGCGGCAACAAAACTTCACCGCAGTCCCGCCCTCAATGGGACGCGATGCCTCGCTCTTTGCGATGGCAGAATGTGAATATTCGCCTGGGCCGCTGGCCGAATCCTGAGTTTATCAATAACAGAAACCACACAAGACGGAAGGAAAAAGAGTAAATGGAATAAGAGCGGCTCCAAAATATCCTCAAAGTTTGCGCCAAGCAAGTATATATAATCCTTTAGCCACAAACGTGACATGCCGCGCTCTATTCGGATGGGATATATATATTTATTACTTAATAAGTGACATAATTTGGGCTCTTCCAGCCACAAAACTCCGCCGCTCACCCTCACAAGGCCCACCCCTTCCGCCAAGTCCTGAAGCGCGAAAACGCGACCGTGTGATATGCCGTCTGCGGGGTTTTCCGTTGACCTTACGTAGGCGAAGGATGCCTTTATTCCGCGAGAGTCCAAAAACCCATATATCCGCTGCGGCTCCCACGTCATGACGTGTGTTTTTGAGCTGCCTTTATTCGCCGCAAGGAGCGGCGAAGTGTTGCCCCACCCAAACGCCGATGGTGGGTGGCAAGATGGCGGAAAAGGCCGATAAGGCCAAGCGTACCGCGCGTGCCTCGGTCCGCATGACAAGAAAAGGGGTTTCTCCCGTTTTTCTCCGGCAATTTTTACGTCGCCGAAGTCTGGAATGATACCGGCTCCCCATCCACGGGGCGATGCGTCCGTGATGATGGCGGCGGATGCCTTTTCGGTGGGCTTGATGATTCGCCTACGATTATATTCTCAATGATGTGTCGTAAGCCCTCGCCCGAACCAACCGCTGCCGGCGGAAGGTTCGCCGGGGATGTCTCCAGCACAATCCCCGGTTAAGCGCGGACAGCCGTCGTCGCACTGCCTTGATGAAAAAGTAGTAGTCACATGAGCGCGTGCCTAAAATGGCCACCGCATACAAAAAGCGTGAGCCATGACCTCCATTTCCCAGATTGTTAAAGAATTCAGCGCCGACATGGCGCGCACAGAGCAGACAAACTTCTCACTCAGAGACACCGCACGGTGAGTATGATCAAACCGCACCCCGAGGAAGGCGTACTGCGTAGTACCCGATTCGCGATCCTCTTCCATCGTGGCGTGGCGGCCGTCGGCGTTACGAAGCGCCCGGGCTTCCCACCATGTCACATCGCTTTTCGACCCTGCGATGCGTATATTATCGATCCAAACGCCGACGCGCACCAATGGAGGTGCAACCCAGAGAGGGTAAACCACCGTCGTCACCCCCGCAATTGCCGAAGTAATAATAATCTGGAGATTTTCTGGGCCGGCCTTGTATCCCATTGGGAGCCGTGTCAGCTCCACCATCGTGCCGTCCACCACGCGGCATCAAAGGAGACGCCGAGCCTCCGCGGTAAAGAGACTTGAAAAAAACAACAACAAAAAACGCCTTTAAGTCCAGGCGGGAAGCGGTCTCAGCCATCACAGGTGGAAAATAATGGGAAATGTGTGAAAGAGGGAAATGGGCCTCATAAGAACCGTCTCTGTTCTTATCGCGCGGCCACGCGATTCATCGTCGTCGCAAACCGGTGGTTTTTTCCTCCACAACCGAAAAGGTATTATCCATCCGCCTGTTGTTGCGGACGAAGCGTCCTCGACTATTCCCGCTTCCCTCAATAGTCGCGCTTCATCGGTCGGAATCCTCCATGAGCCTTCGCACGCTTTACCGGAGGAAGACGGAGGGAAAGGGAACCGCCCGACGAGTCCCCAAACTTGCATGAGTCTCTCCAAGATCGCCGAGTTCAACCGGCTCTGGATCCACTCCGGCCTCAATACGGACACTTTGGCTTGCTGTAGCGGGATGGTTCTTTCATCTTTTGGAAGCGCCAAACGCGTCCTTATCGTTTTGGCGCGATGGCGATAAAAATCATGAAAAAATAAACGCTCCTCTGCTCTCAGCCAGGGTTCCTGCCCTTCCGCAGTCTCTCCCTTCACATCAATGCGGCCAGTGACAACGCCTGGGTCGGCATTGCGGTGCACTTCCCCAAATATCGAACTGTAATCTGGGGAAGGTCGAACGGATTGACGTGCTTCACCAACTGCGGGATCACGTGTGGCTCAAATTGCATGTCTCCACGATTGGAGCAGCGCGCCTCAACGCACCCTGTTTTGTGGAATGCGCCGTGGCATTCCAAGGAGCCAGAGCTCGTTCGACTTTGGCAGTCGTCAGATTCGTGAGCTTTTCGTTTTCTTGAAGTGTCCTGCATAAATTTATGATGTCGAACGCGTCCTGCCCTCGTATCCTGACAGACCGAAAGGCGCGGTGGGGATCCGCCCTCGCCGTCTTCGGCGCCACGGACCAATCCAAAATTATGGTTCCGTCCGGCTCCAGTGTGAAATTGTTGGGTGTCAAGGACGCAATCTCGGACCAACGACTCGCCGTTATCCACGCAAGTCGTAAGACAACACGTTCCCCCCAATCGGTCCGACTGCGGATAAATTGATCCACCGCTTCCTTTGTCAAAGGGCGCGCCAGCCTCTTCTCCGATGGCACCGGAAGTTTTTGTAGCCCCGTAATCATCATGTCCAGCGGGGTCCGATCCATTCGCAACATGGACCGCAGCATCCTGGCGTGCTGCGGTCGGGTCGATGGCACCACATCGAATATTGCCATAAAAAAGGGCCGCGCGGCTCTCCTCATTGATCGGCTGTTCGTGCGTGCGGCGAAATGCTGTGAATCGCCCCGCCAGAGGCGTTCTCCGCTCCCGCGTTGACGGCGCACACATTTCTCGAGTCGCCCCTTCCGCCCTCCTCGTCGATTGCGTCGGGCAGTTTTGGACGATCGGATGAAGCGTCGGCGGCGCGGTGCGACGTCTTCTGTGGGGGTTGGTGGTGGGTGGCGGGATGGGTGTGGCCGCCGTCGTCCGCCTTCATAAGCGGCGGGCGGCCCCTCGCCGTTTTTTGGCGGTTTTTTTTGTTCGGGGAAACTTTTTTGGGGCACACGTTGCAAGTGGACGCCTGTTGTCCATAAATTCGGCACGCTTGGCACAGCAGCGATCGCCGTTTTTGTGGTCGGGTCCCCCGTCGATCCATGAAAGGCCGGACCACCCTCGCGAAGGTGTCGTCCTCACGAAAGGCCTTGCGAAGGCGGGCGTGCAGCTCTTTGAGTCGGTACACTGGGATCGGATTTGATTACGATCAGCATCCGGAAGGCCCGCGGTATGACCCTGCCCGAGTCCATAAACTGCTTGGCGTGCTCCCGATGTAACCGCGACGCGCGCATCCACGAAACCAGAAAGTCAAAGGCAATTTGAGCGTGAGCGTCCCCTCGGTGCCAGCAGTCGTAAGCGCTCCGGGTTTCAAATAGGATTCCAGGGGCGCCTTCATTCCAAATTCGCGGGACCCAAGTGGTGACGTCAAATTCAAGGAAACCCGGATCCTCTTCGTTTGAACCGGAAACTCGTTCTGAAGCCGGAGACAAGAGGGGCAAAGTCACGGAGCGAGGGGGACGTGGCCGTCCCACATCGCCCAATGACGCGTAAGTATTGACTCGCCGTCGCTCTCCCGTGGGAATGTGTTGGGGAATTGTGGATACAGGCACGCCCCCGGCCATCAAACGCTCGTGGTGGGGTGGTGTCGTTGCGCCATCTTCGGACCCGTGCGCGGGCGCGTCTGGCGGCCCTCTCCTGGAAGAGGGGACTTCCCGCTGTCCGGGCGCGTCGCCGCAACCCAAGCTGCGAGCCGCGCTTCCAAGGCACCGATGCGCGCCCCTCGTTTCTGGAGTTGGGAAAGGGTCGTCTCCAAATGGCGTTCGCGCCGATTCCCGTCGCGCAAGAAGACCGTCCGCCACCGCAACGATGGACGCACGCGCCGAGTAGTAGTTATTCTCTTCCTCCACCTGATGTTGAAGCTGCGCGCTTCGATTCCGCGCGTCCGCAGAGGCGTCGGCGTAGTGCGACTTCGATCTCCGCGTTTCCGCGATGGTTGGCCCTCGCCGCGCCCCCAACTGACGGTCCGCCCCCACACGAAGTGCAGGAGCACCTGAGACTCAAAATCTTGTACTCGAGGCGCCCGGAGATCCGCAATGTGCCCTGTAAGGTTTGAATCCCTCCCGGTGCTTTGCGATGTTTCCTGAAATCAATCGTAAGCCGCTTATGGTAGCACTGGCTGTCGCCATTGATCCCGACTGTCCCTTTTCATCCATCTAGGCGAGTTGCGCCTGTATATCGCCACGCTGACGCACCAGATCCGCCATGCGATTACCGATAAGGCTCCATTCCGTTGCCGTGTAAAAGGACCCATCGCCATTTCTTTATATGCGCTTGCAGGAATCAGGTTTGGCTGTAAAAATAAAATTGAAATAAAATAATCAAAGTCGTCTAGACGTTATTGGTTCCCTGATTCCTAGAATCGCGGTCAACCAAAGAATCATAAAGTTAAAAAAAATGCCGCACAGAGTTTGCATTATCAGGATATGTATTAAGTTAGATAGCCAGTCTCTCACTCGAACAATTTCTTCACAAGCTCCCATAAAAAGGGAAAAAAAAGACGACTATTTCTTCTGCAGACGCGCGGAATTTTGAAAAAGAAATGAAAATTGAGATAAAAAAAAACGTGAATTTATCCAATGCTCTTTTCCACGGAGAGGCGACGCTGCCTTCTCACATTTCCGCAAGCTGATGGCAAACTGCAAAAACGCATAGATTTACCTCGTGCGCTGGGCAAAAATGTGTACCAAGGGCCGTTTGTCTGGCAACGTCGTTTCCCGTTCGATAATAACGGTGTACCCAGCACCAAAAAGTATCTGACGTAGCTCTCCGCGAAGAAAAAATCCATCGATCGATGAGGGATGTCCCACCTCAGTTTTCTGACATCCGTCTAAAAAATGGCTGTAGACGAGGAATCCGCCTCGACGAGGAAGCTTGAGCAGCATTTCCAAGGAAGACCGATGCAAAAAGCGACATACATGTAGCAGATCTGGGCCTTCAAATTTAACAGGAAAGAACTTTTTCAACTCGCAATGAATATACAGGGTGCGGCAATCTACTTTGTGCTTTTTACTGAGCGCAACGCCCTGCTCAATCAGCCGGAGTCGATTTTCAATTCCAACAACACTCCAGCCTCGAGACGCCAGGTAGATCATATCCCTCCCAGTTCCTGAACCCACGTCGAGTGCAAAAGAAGGACCACCATTCTTCATCTCAATCTCAGTTATCACCTCTGAAAGAAAAGGATTTGGAGACCAGCACGTCCCTTTCGGCAACTCACACACAAGTTCGTCATTTTTGCTTAGCCGTCTGACCTCCAATGATGCAAAATGAAACCGATTCAAATACGCCTCGACAATATCCAAATCTATCTGACCATCGCAAATCGCTATGAGGGCTACATCGCGTGGAGGCAACCCACATGCATCTGCCCGAATGCTTTCCCAAGGAAAATTGAACGCTCCCTCAATATGTCCCTCCGCATAAGACTCCTTGGGTCTTAAGTCTATCACTACCCTTTTCATGCAAACCAGCGCGCCTCAACGTAAAAAAAAAAAAAAAAAAAAAAAAAAAAAACTTCGCAAATGCCCCCTCATTAAAAAACAAAGAAAAAAAAAACAAAACCAAAGTTTTTTCTTTCTCATCCCAATAGAGCGTGCCTTGTTGGGCTTTTTTAGAAATCGAGGAATTTCCCTCCCACACAAAAACAAAAACAAAAACAAGCTCCTTCAATATTTACTCAAAACAATAACAACAAAGCAGTAGCTATAATTCACAAAAATGTCTTATTTAAGGTCAGGGATTTCTGCCAACGCCATGCCGTTGTCCAATTGGATTTGGAGGTTTTCGTTTAAGAAATAGTTAATTCCATTTCATGAAAATTGCTCCACACGGGCCTCCGCCGCTGCGATCAAAGGCAGAGTTTGCTCCCAATCCTTTTCCGCAATAAGAAATCCGCCTAATTTACTAAAGAAAAAGGTGCCCCAAATCCCTCCTGAGAGTCTTTTACCTGTGACCAACGTTGGAGAAGCCTCTAATTTCCTTACAGATATGGTGCTTAACTCCGGTACACTCAACAGTTGACTCGTGTGCTTCTAAGCAATTGAATTGGTACAGTTTAGTTGATTAAAATGGGTCCCTAGGAAAACCCATTTTATACTTTGGAACAATCTTTTTCCTTCCACCGTCGCTCCGCGGTGTGGTTGTGTGGTTCGTGGCACGTCGCTTTCCCAACATGAACAGCATCTCTCTCCCTGTCCCTCTTTCTGTGGCATCCAATCTGCCGTTTTGGTTTACTCGAGTGGAGTCGCCATCCCTACAAAAAACACTGCGTCCGAGCAAGCGGAGATGAGTCTCAATTTCACCTTGACCTCATAATCATTTCTATCATCCGTGGCGCCTGGCAAGAAGATAAAACGCCCATATTGGCACCGTTTCTTCTTCTTCTTCCACAATCGAGAACGGTGTGACACAAAACGCGGTGTAATTGCCGTGTATGCTAGTTACAAAATCCCTGCCCCTGTCAATTTCCAATTCCCATTATCAAAGACTCGTAGTTCGAGCTTCTTCATGGTTTCTTTCTTTTTGAGGAGAAAACCCAATAAAAACCTCCCATACCTCCTCAAACTGGTGTTGGCACCAATAACGCCACTTTTTGCGACGGCAAATTGGCGTCTTCGTGAGTAGTTGCAACTCCTAAAAAAAGCTACCCGCCGCAAGAACGCTGCGTCCATCGAGAAGTTTGGCCATTATCGCTTTTGGTTTCTTTTTGGGAAATAAATAATCATTGAAGTCTGCCGCTAGGCTAATTCCCTAGTAATGCTATAAAAGTTTTTGCTGCATCTGTTTCAGGCCATATTTCGCTCTTCTTCAAAATAAATAAATTTGAATCACCTTATTTATTGGTGAACACTGTCGAATTCCAAAGAAAAAAGCATCATTAGGTCCACAATGTCTACTCAATGAAGTCCACAATGGGAGCCAACCTTGTCAGAGTAAAAGCAACATGTATTGGAAGTAATTCTCCACATTTAGATTATATATAACAAGGAAGATAACAAAAACAAAATAAATAAAGTTCACAACAACAACAAATAAAAATAAAAAAAGTTGATTGGATCAAAATGAGACCTTAAACACCCGCTCCCAATAAAAAGAACACACACATAAAAAAAAAAAAAGCTATTGTAAAATACGTAACTTCAGAAAACTTTATAAGACATTACTTTGCGCGTTACTGCTTATACTTGTATACCCCAAAAAGAATCCAAAAACTATGGAGTTGAGAGAAAACTTTTTACACCTGAACAGCCGCAAACATTTACCTCCGAAATAGTATGAATAGAGGCCAAAGCAGCAAGCGTAGTAATTCTTGTACAATCCTCAAGAAGAATTCGCTTTAATGTAGGACTAGCAGACAGGCCATCCAGCCCTTCGTCCGTCACGGAAGTCTTACTTACATCAAGAAGGCACAACACAGGTAACGTGCCGAGAACACCCACATCGGTCACCCGGATACATCCACGAAGGTAAATTTCTTCCAGTGTCAAAATACTGAAAAGTGTGTGCACGGATGTCAAATTCCAACAATCTTCAAGAAAAATTTTTGACAGGCTCGGAGAAACCCCTAAACCACTTAGACTTCTGCTTGTCACAGCAGTCATGCTTAGATCAAGTGAGTGCAATTCAGGAAGCGAGCCAAGACCAGAAATACCTGTCATTTTGTTACATCCACGAAGTCGTACGTCCCTCAAAGATATAATAGAAGAAAGTTCAGAAACATTTGTTAATCGAGCACAGTCATCAAGAATAATTTTCTCCAGGCTGCGATTTACAGAAAGACCATCTAGTCCTTCATCTGTCAAAGAAGTTTTGCTTACATCAAGCACACAAAGTGATGGAAGTACACCCAAAACGCCAACGCCTGATATAGAGATACATCCAGTAAGGTAAATCTCCTTTAGGCTTTTAATAAAAGAAAGTTCAGAAACATTTGTTAATCGAACGCAGTCATCAAGAATAATTTTCCTCAAACTATTATTTAAAGAAAGACCATCTAGTCCCTCATCTGTCAAAGAAGTTTTACTTACATCAAGCACACAAAGTGATGGAAGTACACCCAAAACGCCAACGCTTTCTAGCCGTACGCATCCGCTGAGAGAAATCTCCCTGAGTGTTCGTATAGAAGAGAGAGTGGATACATTTGACAGCAGTTTGCAGTCCCCCAAAAAAATTCTTTCCAGACCACAACTCGCGCCAATCCCAAGCAAACCCTTATTGGTTATTGGCATTTTGCTGACATCAAGTGTGTGCAATGTCGAAAGCAATCCCAAACTTCCAATATGCTTTACGTTTTTGCACCCACGAATATAAATTTCTTCAACAGACGTGATACATGACAAACAGTTTACTGCATTAAGATTCTTACAGTCATCAAGACGGATTTTCACCAAACTTCTGCTTTCACGAAGACCTTTCAAATCATTGGCTGTCACCGCAGTCTGACTTAAATCCAGTAGCCAAAGCATAGGAAGTCGCCCAATACCACCAATAGATGAGACCTTCGAACAACCACGAAGATGAATTTCTTCCAGTGTGGAAATATAAGACAATGAACTCACATCAATTAGGTTGTGGCAATCCTCCAAGACAACTTTATGCAAACCACGATTATTGGCAAGTTCCTTGAGATCGTCATCAGTTATAGCAGTTGCGCTTGCATTTAGTAGACGCAACATTGGTAGGAAATGGGATGACTCAACACGTTTATTACCACCGTGGTGAAAATCACTTTCATCAAAAGTTGGAATAAATGCCAATTCAGAACGATCGTTTCTATCCACAATTGCCTTGGAGAAAGTGCCATTATTAGCGAGACGTTTCGAAGACAGAAGCTCAATATTTTTTGTTTTACCAATCGCCGAAAGGTAGTTCCTGTGCGTGTTAATCTTGGGTAACATAATCAATTCACATTCACAGAGCCATAGAATAATTTCTTTTTTTTTCCATTTTTTTAGTTTTTGCGTATATCAAAGACGGAAAGAGAAGACGGTAATGGAACGACAGCGGTCCAGCATATTTCAGCACATTCTTCTGGGCCGCTGGCCGAATCCCGAGTTTATCGATAATAGAAAACAAAAAAGATAGGAATAAGAAAGGAATAAATGGGATAAGAATGGATTCACCACAAACTCAAGCTTTAACAACAAATAAGTGTACATTTGTATATCATCCACTAGCCACAATTGTGCCCCGCTCACTCTAGTCGGATGGGATATATATTTATTTATTTATGTATTACGCACGAAGTGGCGGAATTTGGGGTCCTGCAGCCACAAGACCCCGCCGCGCGGTGGTAATCAAGGGGTGGGTGCGATGGTAAAAATAAAAAATTGTCTGGCCGCCATCGGTTCCCTGCTCCGCCAAAGTCGTATCCTTCCAAAAATTCATACGACAGGAAAGTGTCGTAAGGAAGCGTATTCGTTCTACCAGGGCAAATGTAAATTAATTAAGTTGGCCAGCTCTCCCGCGATCGTTCTCCCCGCGAGCTTCTGACAGATGCGATGGCCCGCACAAAGGCCGCGATCCCGCACCAGCACGAGCACTTCTCTCCCTTTCTGTTTTCGGCGGCGTTCCCGTCCCGGATCCCGGGCGCTTGCGGGGCGCCCCGTTGCCCGCAGAAAGCGCGGGTTTCGACCCGGCTCGGCCGCCAAGGGTGTGTCGGGGGTTGGGGGGCGAGTTTTTTTCCATGGGCGACCGGTTGCGTGTTTTCTTTTTGGCGTTCTGTCTTTATTTGGGGGGCGGCTTTTGGTGTTGCTGTTCTTGTGTGCTTTATTATTTTACTTTTGGCCGATGGTGAACGACTTTTTTCCTCGTTTCTAATCGTACATGAAAAATAAGGCAAAGGTATAACAAAGAAGGAGAAAATTGCATTACAATTAGTACACCATATAATGGCTGTGTTTTCGTGTGTAAGATGCGGATATATGTATGAGTTTCTTGTTTCCAACAGTTATTATCGGAAGCTCACGCTGCGTAATGATCATTGTCCTCGTTGTGATCAATTGTCTTTGTTCCGCTTTATGAGTGTCAGTGGAATGGTGGGAAAGATGCCCTTTAAACCCGTTGGGGTCCCAGCACCTTCTTATGCGACGCTGTGGTGGCGGAAGAAACGAGACGGCAAGAGTGCAACGGCCCCACTTGATGCCGTCTGCAAGGGCGATCGCTGGTAAAATGTCATTTTTCTATTGTTGATATTTAGCAAATGCTTTTTTTCTCTTGCCTACGTTTATTTTTAGAATAACTGCTTATATATAGGTGAAAATATTATTTTATTGATTTCCATTTTTTTTCCTTTTTTTCTTTCTTTATTTTTTGATTTTATTCAGAGGCTATTCACAAATATCTTGCTGCAGATCTATGATTAGTGGATTATTTTGTCGGTCACATTCCTGGCGATATGCTCGATTTCCTGTTTTTCATTCGACGCGGAACAATTATATAAAGCTGGCGATTTTGTGCCGGCGTGTGCTGACGCGTTATTTTCCTTAACGGAAATATATATATAGAAAAATATGACTTTTATGGCCTTCTTTTTTTGCGAAACAAATGACCTGAACTTCGAGGGACAAATGTTTTGGGATACTTTTTGCGGCAATACAAGGAAAATCGAACCTTACATCTTTTAAAAATAAACTCAAAAGAGTCTTTATTGCACCGATTAAATTTAAAGCAAAAAGAGGAAATCCGGTTTACGGAAGTTATCCGAAAAGCTTACTTCTTTACAATTCACGTGGACAATATGGAGGCTGCAAGTCTTATTGGATATGTAAATCTAAAAGGAGATGTCATGCTGAATAAATGGGTTTTGTGTAAGTTTTTTTTTTTTTTTTTTATTGTATCATAAAATTTTAAACTGAATCATTGGAACACCAACCAGTTATACTATCGTCAGAAACACAACCAATAAATTCCACTTATGGCCTTTTATGGATTTATACAAACAGCTAATCTGAAGTGATCCCCAAAGAAGATAAAACTGTTGATTTAGAAGAAGTAGAAAGAAAATGGTTATTTATTTTAAATTCACTTTTTTTATTTTCTTTTATTTGGACTCGTCCTTTTGGTTGTTGCAAAAACACCCGAAAGTGGGATTCAACGGCATGGCGTTTTGGAGGGTGTGATATATGAAGAAGATATTGGATGGAAACGACTTCACGCGGATGTTTTTTGCCTCCCGGAAAATAATTTTTTCCTTTTTTTTTTCTTTAGTCGGTTATGTTTCTTAAATTTTGCTTCTTTTTTCTCTCTCAGTGTGTGTGTGTGTGCGTTTAGATTTGCTTTGACGGGCTCATTGGGTGATGGAATGAAACCAAGTGTTGATTTTGTGGTGTACGCCTTTGAACTCACAGTGTCTGTTTGTGGTTTCATGAGTGGGTTTTTTTTTACGGAGAATTTGAGGGGGGAAAGTTCTCTAGAAATGTATCTCTGGAAATATATTATTTACCTATTCTTTTGCTTACGGGGCTGTTATTGTATTTCCCACAATCAGTCGGGTTGCTTCAATAAATTACTTTACCTACGCAATTTTTGTGGAGTTCTTCTCTCTCTTTTATTTATTTATTTAATTTTTTTCGGGGACCACATTTCTTTTTAATTTGGTTGAGACAGGAATTGGGAAAAATTTTGGCGGGCCATTTGACGTACTCACCCAAACAAAATTTTTTTTACGAGAGATTCTTTTTTTTATGGTACTATCGATGGACACCAACACAATTGTTTGTTGAAGGAATAATTTCTTTTATAGGATCTTGTGAAAAGAATGATCGTGGGAGAGCTGGCTAACTTAATTAATGTATGTACATCCTGATAAATGAAGGCATTATTTATGATACTTTCTACCGTATGAATCTTTTGGGAAGAACGCGACTTTGTAGGGGCAGGGAGCCGATAGAGGCCAGATAATTTTTTGTTTTTACTTTGTATATATTTGCGCGGAGAGAAATACCTGGAAGATTCCATCTAGTGATGTTTTTTTGGTATTTATATTTTTTCTGCTACTTTTCTTTTGGATCGTTTTAGACCTTTAAAAGGTTTTGATGCTTTTCAATAAATTTTTTTTGTGGTATATTTTTAAATTTTAAATCTATAGAAAGGGTTTTTTTTTTGTTTTTGCCCGTTTTTCATTTTAGTTCAATGTGGACTATATGGCAAAGTGCGCAATTCGGTTGCATTTATTTTTGGAACAAACATTCGCACCATTATTGTAAAAAACATCCTGTTTTTTGCAAACTACATCAGTTGCTCAGAAAGGTCCTTTTGCCAGAGGGAATCACAGAGGTTTGAGTTTTATCATCGTCAAAAGCATTGTGGAAAGGTAGTATTATAGCTTTGAACAAGATTTATTTATTGAGTTATTGATTTATATAATGGCCAAAGTGGAAAAAAAAAAAAAAAAAAAAAAAAAAAAAAAGATGTGTATTCAATATTGTTTTCAATTATCCTTTATTTTATGATTGCATATATAACGACTTATCATGAAATATATTTCTAAAAAAGTTGTTCTTTCTTTGACATATCACAGCTGAGCATTGGGTTTGTTCTACCTGAAAGTGTCATTTTTTGAGCAAAATTGAGCAATTTGCAGAAATTCTCACGCAATTCGAACAGAATAAAGGAAGTTTGATTTTCAATGAAAACTGTTTTTATGCTTAGAGAAATTTATTCAAGCTTTGGAAATTACATATCCATTTCTTTACTTTTTGCTTTAAATTGCTTGAAGAATAGAAAGGTTTCTGGTCAGAATGAAGAGGATGTTCTTTCCTTTTATAATGCGCTCTTTTTGGTTGTGTAGCAACTTTACATGCTTACGGACTTTTCAGCATGCTCATCTCTCTAAATCGGAAATTTCTTCAATTGATTGTGTACAGAGGCAAGCTAGTCGATAGGAGTTTACGGCTTTGAGCTTTGATGGCTTGTTGGTGGTCGTTGACCTTTTTTTTTTGTGTGTGATGCTCACCCTCACGGCGGTTTGGTCTTTATCCATCTCGTGTTTTTTTTCCTTCTTTTCTCACATAACAAACAAACCAGGGAGAAAAACTTGTTCAGGTTTTTTGTTTATATCGCGTTTTTTTTTTTTTTTTGTTTCTAAAGATGTCTGACGAAGAACAGTCCGCTATTGTCTGTGACAACGGCTCTGGCATGGTGAAGGCCGGCTTTTCCGGCGATGATGCGCCGCGCCATGTGTTTCCATCCATTGTTGGCCGACCAAAGAACGAGCAAGCGATGATGGGAAGCGCCAGCAAGAAGCTTTTTGTTGGCGACGAGGCTCAAGCAAAGCGTGGCGTGCTTTCGCTCAAGTATCCTATCGAACACGGTATCGTCACCAACTGGGATGACATGGAGAAGATCTGGCATCACACCTTCTACAATGAGCTGCGCGTCAACCCGGAGTCCCACAGCGTGCTACTAACAGAAGCCCCTATGAACCCCAAGCAAAATCGTGAGAAGATGACACAGATCATGTTTGAGACCTTTGGTGTCCCCGCCATGTACGTTGGCATTCAGGCAGTGCTCTCACTCTACTCGTCCGGACGAACCACCGGTATCGTTCTTGATGCTGGTGATGGCGTGACCCACACCGTCCCTATTTACGAGGGATACTCTCTCCCACATGCCATTCGCCGTATGGACATGGCTGGCCGGGACCTCACGGAATATCTGATGAAGCTTCTGATGGAGAGTGGGATGACGTTCACTACGTCTGCCGAGAAGGAGATTGTTCGGAATGTGAAGGAACAACTGTGCTATGTTGCTTTGGACTTTGATGAAGAGGTGACGAACAGTGCCAAAACTGTTAACGAGGAGCCGTTTGAGCTCCCAGATGGCACAATCATGCAGGTGGGTAACCAGCGCTTCCGCTGCCCCGAGGCGCTTTTCAAGCCCATGTTGATTGGCCTCGATGAAGCCCCCGGGTTCCATGAGATGACCTTCCAGTCCATCAACAAATGCGATATTGACGTGCGTCGCGACCTGTACGGGAATATTGTGCTCTCTGGCGGCACCACAATGTTCAAGAATCTTCCAGAGCGTCTTGGAAAGGAGATCAGTAACCTTGCACCTTCTTCAATTAAGCCGAAGGTTGTTGCGCCACCGGAGCGGAAGTACAGTGTATGGAT